ATTATAATATCATATATCAAAAAAACTTTGTTATTGCATTTAATTACACGACGCGCGTTTATAATTTGTTTTAGATACACAATATATTATATAATATTATGTTACAGTATTTACTATCATTGCCGGCGATTGACCTTTACATTTGCTACGTAAGTTATTAATTTTCGATTATTATAATTATTCAAATAARGCCGTCGCCGAGTAATTCAACTAAACTATTTACCATCGATACAATATGAATGCGGCCAATGTTATACATAGTCGTTTACACACACACGTGGCGGTCGTATTTTTCGGYGGACAGGTAAACAGTCGATTTGTTATTTGCAGTCGGACTAAATACATTTAGGACGCGCGCTGAACGTTTCCGGCGACGCATTCCAATCGACCCGGAACCGAAGTTGCGATGCTTGATTGCGGATTTTATCTAAGTTCTCACACGTAGATTATAGCATTTTTTTTTTTTTTTAATGGAACGTCCCTAAATGTTAACTTAACTCTCAGGAAACGAAATGTTTGGTAGCCAACTGCAGAGAAACAAATAAATTATTAGTCTGTCTTACCTACGAGAAGGTTTCCGGAGTGAGTCTAATATCGCCCGGAAGCGTACCGGTTCGTTTAAGTTACCCGATATAGGTGCACCACAGACTATATAGTTATTATTATTTTGGCTTACGTCCATTTTTGCACATTTCGAATTATTACTTTTTATAGTAATTTTTTTTTATGTTTCTATGATTTGAATCCCATCTATACAATTATAAACACGTGCATAGTTACTATTTTTTATTATTATTATTATTATTATTATTTATTTAAGTCTCAACAACTAAGGTTAGTTAATTATTGGCTAACATTTACATTATAACTATACTATTGTTGTAGTCTATTATGACACTATACACTTTGCGCATCAGTTATTAACTATAGGTACTTATAGTACTTACAATTATTGACCTAAATGAGCCGTAGTCGTGCTCTGTTATTATTGAAGTTGAAATAAAATGCGATTTGCTCAGCATTGCCACAAGCATTGTTTACAACAATAATTACTATCATTAATTTCGGCCCAAAGTAGTGGTGATACAATTAAATTTGTACGTTTGTTCCATCATAKTCGATCGTCAGTTCTACCTTCGTCTGCGGACCGAAGGACTCGTCGGGCTATTCAATATAATATTTTGTCAATTAGTGCGTACACAAAAATGTGATACCTCCTACTCCTTCTATCACACTACAGTGATGATYGTCGCCGCGTGCGCTGAGATGCCTCGATGGCACATAACTATTACTGTTTCTAATCGTAACTAGGTCACAGGAAAATGCGGCAAATTTCCAGACAATAATTCCTTTATTTGTCTATGTGCCTAAAACGTAGATTTGAGCGCGGGAAATCAATCAATATGGCTACAGAAGTTACGATTTTCGGCGCGCGCATATAGGTAGTTCTTGAGATCTGGGAAAATATKATGTAACCATATGTATAGCTGAACCCGTGCACTTCGTAGCCCGTTAAAAAYCCTACCTCTTATATGTCTCGAACTGTCTGTTAAATTCGTTACCTGTGATTATGCTATAGCAGTATATTTTTATGCGTATARACAGATAACGGTTAAAATATGMCGARTAATAATCTTACAACGATATTCAATATTTAGTTTATCATCGTGCAATTTTATTCGTTTTATCGAGAAAAGTCTGGCAATTCAAGCATTCAATTGAATGGTTAGGTTAGGTTTATTGAGATGCATTTGRATATTACACAGTGTCTTTTGTTTTTCCTGGCGTACACAAATACCGTATATGTAATAGACGCGTAAATTAATACCCAATAAAATAAAAATAAATTACCATCGTAAATCTAGAAATGTCCGTTTGAGCACATCCCGGGGTTGGGCCTGTCACTTTTTAACATGGCCTATCTTCTGCCCATATAAGTCTATAATATATCTCTGTACCAAATTTCGTCGCAATCGGTTCAGCCGTTTATAGAAATGCGCATAAATGACAAACAGATAGACAGACAGACAGAAATCAATTTTTATATAATATATAGAAATTTTTTTGATAAYATTATATTTCTCGGCGCCGGAGACAAGACGCGCTCATCACGATTGACGGTCGGCCGATGACGCTATAACAGAAATGCAACGACACACATCGGAGGCAATAAAACAATACATAATGTATAGGTATTATATCACGAATTTCTGTAATTATTTTTTAGTGTCAACTTTAGGCAGTATATATAAGAATAATTAGTAGGTGAACTTCAACAACTGACTAARGGGCCAATATTATTGTATCGTTTTCAATATTGCTCGGATCGTGTCGAAACGTACTGTTGTACACATCACGATCACGACTGCATTCTCGTTACCCGGTATAATAGGTATCTACGAGCAATGTGGATTTTTTAAAACGAAAATTGAAATCACTCGTTTCTGTAAAAAACGGTAAAAAGCGCCTAACGTTGTTGTCGCCGARAAAATGAACGCATGCACTGCAGCACGACATGATGTATAATATATGGGCCGTATATGCGGACGACTTTCACACGAATGACGTCATAATCGAGACTATATACCATACACGCGCGTAGTACGTATTTGTCATAAACAAATTTGTTTAGGTACATAACATTACAGGTTTTCGCTATACAGCCGCATCGCACTAAAATATGAAGAAAAAGAAGAAGAAGAAGAAATCTTCGCGTCGTCGTCGCCAAGACGGGACACTGCGACGTAGCGGCGACGAACGGTCTCGACTCTAATTTTTGTTTATACACTATCGTTTTCCACTCGTCGATGAATCGTTCATAATGATTTTCATGATAATATTTTAATAATATCTCACTCGGTCGTTCCTCCCGGTTGTGGGTGCGACGGCGCACGTTCCGGACGTCTTATATATGTATATACAATGCGATGAGAGGGTGCAGTGTAAAGCGCGTCCGGCGAGTGGGTAAACTGCTACAGCGTATATATATTATATATAGGTATAAAGTTGAGTATTATATTTTATGCGCATATACCTTGAAGAAATAAACGACCCGGGAAGGGTATATATATGCGGCCCATATAGTGCATCGTAAAATGTGTGCGAGGAATAAGTGTCGGCGATGAGAGAGGACCGTGTAGGCTGCAGTGCGGCGGCGGCGATGTACAATATTATATATAATATATATATATATATATATACGCGCGGTGGGCAAGAAAAGTTTTAAAAACGCCGACGCCCTCTCCCATATATACTGCCGTCGCTTTTCCTGCTCCTGCTCTCGCTGTATATWGCGCGGTTATGGGTCTTGATTTCGCGATATATATACACCGTGATGGTAATATAGAGGGTCCAAATGCGAACGAATAATATACGCGTTTGTGTGTGTGTGAGTATTATTTATACTCGGGTGTATATACAGTGTGCGTGCGGTGTGGTGTGGTACCGCGCCCGATTACCCCCTAAAAGGGTCATGAAAAATGTATTTTCCGAGGGCGTACTCGGAAAAACTCCACCCCACCGCGTCCGCCCACGACCCCTGCGCTCTCCTTTACCTCCTACTCCGGCTCGGGACGCCGCCCGGTATGTTATATGATTGATGGACATCGCTTGGGTTTTCCACCGTTCACTCGCGCCCCTCGATGATGGTACAGACTGTACCTACACACACCCACACACACAGTAAACGACTTTGTTATACATATATACGTATATGCGGGTATGTGTGTGTGTGTTCAATATATATTATAATGTATTGTGTGTGCCTGACAAAACCGACCATATAGTATATAATATAATATATAYATATGACATATTATGTATAATATATACATGTTCTGGTGTACTGCAACAGAATGCAATCCAAAAAGTTTCGTACCGCAACAACGCTATACACAGTGCGCTACAATATATAATATCTAATACAGGGGTCACCTAACCTAACCAATTTCTATGGAGGTCCGTTTTGAAACTTACCAAACTGGCCGTGGTCTCGAACAGTGATATTGACATTTACACACATCATATCTGCAKGATTTATAATTGAATTCTCAACATTGGCTTCCYCGTTTACGA